GCCCGCATTTGGTAATAAGATTATAGGAACACAGTATTGCTATCATTTCCCATTGGCTTCAGAGCAGAGACAGGTCTTTGTGAGCAACTTGATTGCAGAGAGAAGGAGATTTTTTAATGTGTCCACAAAAGACAACCCATATATCGGATGAAGGCGGTGTGGAAAAGCCACACAGGTGAGCGTGGAAAGCTAACGACAGGTTGTAGAGGAGAGGAATCAGAAGACGGGGCATGAAACAGGACGAGAGCAGGTAACAGGAGAGGAGACAGCTAATGTAGGACTTTGAATACATTGCGGAGAAACTTAGATTTGATGTGGGAGAGGAAGGAGTGTCAGCAGAGGGACTCAAAGATGGGTCTGATGCAACCACAACATCCAAGTGAACTGAAAAGCAGTTTTTTGCATTAACTGGTAGGGGCCACACGAGTATTGGACAGGAGAAAATGATAAGGGTCTGAGTAAGGATTTGGGCTGTAGGGATCACATGAGAAGGCAGAAAAACAAGATGTGGTGGAGGAAGAAGGAGCAGGAAGACTTGGGTGTGTAGAATGAGGGAGGAATCTAGCACCCCTCACATTTTAGTGCAAGTGAAAGAGGGGTGAGGCTACTACTACGTATTATAGTTCATTTGCCTTGATTAGTGTTAAGGCACTATCACCAGGTGGTATGCATAACAATCTACTTATCAATCTACTTCAGATAGCAGGAGAAGCAGAATGGATGGATGCTAGGTCTGCTTTCTGCAAATACAGCCCATTAAGATGCCAGACAATATATAAGTGAGTCTTCAGCAGTGGGTACTAAAGTACCGTAGCAATAAAACCCCGTCCTTCTACTGAAAACTTTAGTGTTTTTATCCTCCTCTGTTGATTCCAATTTCTTCTATATATGGGTCACTTGAAGACAGAAAGGAGACATGGATTGCACTAGTCCACAGAATCTTTCATTAGTGAGTTAGTTATAAGTAGCAAAGAGCCATTAGAGGAAATAATGCACTCCCCCTTTCACAATGGTCTGCTCACAGCACTGCTGCTCTGGTAAAGCTCCCATTGCTTTCAATGGATGTTGCCTGCATACAGCTGTTGAATAAGGAACTAAACTAAATGGAAGGCGTCTAGTGCTGACCAATATCAGCCGCCTTTTCTATTTGTTATGACCTTACCTGCTCCCCTGGGTACAGGGGAGAGACGCTGCTCAAATATATACGCACTGTTTGAAATAGCCAGCACATGCTTTAAAAATTCTTCTAATCTCGATGTCTGTATTTTATTCACAAGAAATATCTGCACCAAAACCACTGCTGAACTGGAGATATGTAGGAATCATCCACACACTTTGTAAAGTAAAGTAAAAAATCCATCTGCCATGGATCAGCATCAGTCCTACACCACAAGTTGCTACTTGACGTCCAAAGAAAGGAAAGTAAGGCACCCGATAGCTGTTACATTTAAGATGTGGTTAACTGGTTATACCTCTTAAGTAGGAGATTGTGGGAAAGTGAAAGACAACAGGAGAGGGAATGAGGTGAGAAGAGGTAGGGCAAAGGATAGAGAGTTGGTTAAGGTTAGTCTGAGAAAGGGGTTAGAGACAATGGAGTAAGATGAGAGATGCACCATGCAAAGACCCATTATTAAAGGGAGTTGCATCTACTTTATGTTAGAAAAATGTTCATATAAGAAGCATTAATATTTGTAAAACTTTCTAAGGATTAAGATTACTTATCTGCCATAGGTGCTTGCATGACCCTCATTCATATAGGTTTGTATGTCTCTCATCTCTCAATACCTCAACCTCTTTAATGCATTTATGTTTCTTATCCTTTTTCAGTAAGGAATTACTGCCTACAAATGCAGGGACAAGATTCAGAAATATTCTTGGCCTGTTCAGCATCAACGGGAGCTTTAGGCTTTAGCAATGGGACCCTCAGACTTGTATAAGGGTCAAAATTTAACCCTAAATGACTTGCACAGTCACACAGAAAGCCTGTTACAGGGAAATGAATTTAGCAATGACCTGGAAGATGGGAGAGAGTGCTCCCTCAGCAGGTCTGTGGACAACACCAAGCTGGGGGGAGTAACTGATATGCTGGAGGGTAGGATTCAGAGAGACCTCAGCAAACTGGGGGACTGGACCAAAAGCAATCTCATGAGGTTCGATAAGGACATGTGCGAAGTCCTGCACTTAGGACAGAACAATCCCATGCACCAGTACAGCTGGGGTCATTGGTTGGCCAGCAGCTCTGCAGAAAAAGACCTGGGGGTGACAGCGGACAAGAAGATGGATATGAGCCAGCAGTGTGCCCTTGTTGCCAAGAAGACTAACGGCATCCCAGGCTGCATTAGTAGGAGCACTGCCAGCAGATCGAAGGAAGTGATTCTTCCCCTCTATTCAGCACTGGTGAAGCCACATCTGGAGTCCTGTGTTCAGTTTTGGGCCCCCCACTACAGAAAGCATGTCGGCAAATTGGAGAGAGTCCAGCAGAGGGTTACCCAGATCGGTGGTCCAATCTCCATCCTTGGAGGTTTTTAAGACCCAGCTAGACAAAGCCTTGGCTGGGGGGATATAGTTGGGGCTGGTCCTGCTTTGAGCAGGGGGTTGGATTAGATGACCTCCTGAGATCCCTCCCAACCCTCATTTTCTATGATTCTCTGATTTTTCCCAATCCTAATGACTCAATTGCATTTCCTCTCAAGTGTTTGTTTTTCTGTAAGTGTGGACCTGAGTTCTTTCCCCGCTTTGGGAAGTCTTAAGGGATCATGTCTGTGATGCACTGAAGAAACCAAGTGCTCTTATGAATTCTTTATGTATATCAATGTCAGAGCAAAGACGCCATCTTGGGTATCTTTTTGAATTTTCATTTTCCCTTCACACTGGACTTGGATTCGAAAGGCAAGTGACACAGAGCTAACAATAAAGGTTTTTAACTGAAGTGCTCTACCACTGAAATGGAATTGCTCTAAACAATAGTCTGGCTCCTACACAGGAGAACTGATTTATCATAGCAATAGTTACCTGTCAATGGAGTCACCTATGGTCAGCTGTTGGGCCTGGATCAGGAGATCTCATGCAAAAGTGGCTGAAAGATTATATCAAGGTGGCAGATGCTCTCTTCTATCTTGGGCCTTTTTCAATAGTTCACTATGAAGGGAGATACTGGAAAAACTTTGCAAGTTCTGCCCTCCTGAATGCAAATGGGCACAAGTGGATTTCCAAGGGAAGGATGAACTGGGGAGCAGGGTGCATTGCACTCAGAACGCTTGTCGTTTTGACTCACCCATGCTTTAAGTATAGACCAGTGATATTTGGAAGACATGTTAAAAGTTTTCTTATTATCCCCCGTTCTTCTACCACCCCCAATTCACGTGTGTGTGTGTGTGCGTGTGTGTGTGTGTGTGTATTTGGAAGTGTAATGAGGCAAGCAGCAGACAAGGTAATAATGGACAGCTGTCCCCTATGCATGCAATACAGCAATTCGGTGAGCCCAGTACGGAATAAACTAAAATACAAAAACGGCCATCACTAACACATGAGCCCCTTTCTACTTGTATGGATCCCTCTAGGTTTATTAAATGTGATTTTCCATGCCCCCCAATAGCAATTGAGAATAAATGCAACAAGCAACAGACAAGAACGGGAAAATATGCAGGAGAAACTGCAAAACTAAAACTGAAAATATAAGAAAACAGAAGCTGCCATTGGGAATAATGTAATGTTACTTTTTAAGGAATCTACACTTTTAGGCCCTGATCCTGCCAACACTCATGTGCATGATAATTTTATGG